TCATCTCACTGATACAATTTGGATGTGTCAACTTTCTTTAACTTTCAGCCAGAACCTTCCCCTACTACTGGTTCTTTGTTCAAGCCCCGACCAGTGCACATTTCTGCTTGCTCAAGTTCTTATACAGGAAGGGCATTCCATCAGAACACCTTCACCGAGCAGAAGTCGAGTGAATTTGAGTTCAGACCTCCTGCATCCAATATGGTATTGTCCAAAGAAATGCTGTTTGTAATGCTTATTATGTTATGTACTATACAGAGAATGGGCAACATCTGAACTTCAAAAATTGTCTGTATTTGTTTCTAAAGATACCTTATATCCACAAGCATACAGTTCTTAAGTTCCTTGTATACTGTTGCGGGTGGCGTTGTCTAAATATCTTTATTGATTTCAAGGTTTATGCAGAGCTTGACAAGCATAGAAGTGAGCCACCAGTACAATTTCAAGGCCATGGCCGTGGATCATCACACTCACCTTCTTCGGTCAGTGAGGCTGCAGCTTCTTCAAGTGAGTTAAACCGGCCAACTCCTCCTCTTCAGACTACACCAACGAGCTCAGATATTCCGGCCGGATCTGATCAAGATGAATCAGTCCAGACCTCGCAAAATGACTCCAGAGGAAGTATGCCATCAATCTTGGCTGATGATGGTTACAACTGGAGAAAGTATGGTCAAAAACATGTCAAAGGGAGTGAATTTCCCCGGAGCTATTATAAGTGTACACATCCTAATTGTGAAGTGAAGAAGTTATTTGAAAGGTCTCATGATGGGAAGATCACTGATATTATTTACAAGGGTACACATGACCATCCTAAACCTCAACCTGGTCGCCGAAACTCTGGTGGTCTTGGGATGACTTCACAAGAAGAAAGACTAGACAAGTATCCTCCTTCAAATGGCCGAGATGGTAAGACAAGATTGCACTTACTCCCCTTGACCATACCTAGAACTTCATATGTTCCTTTTACTCTTTATTCCTGTTTACAGAGAAGGGATCTAGCCTCTACAACTTGTCTCAAGCCGTTGAGCAAACTGGTAACCCGGAAGGACGTCCTATCTCAGCAACTGACGATGGTGGAGAAGTTGCATTGTCAGATAGGAATAAAGATGACCCTGACGATGATGATCCATTTACAAAACGGAGGTATTAGAATCTAACCAAGGATTTAGGTGCTTGCTTTGAAACTGTGATTTGACATGATCAAAACTCTCTTGCAACTCTATGTAGGAGGTTGGATGGGACCATGGATATAACTCCACTTGTGAAACCCATCCGGGAGCCTCGGGTTGTTGTTCAAACACTAAGTGAGGTTGACATTCTGGATGATGGTTATAGATGGCGTAAATATGGGCAGAAAGTAGTAAGGGGAAACCCAAATCCCAGGTTTGTACAATCATAAAAACTTTAAACAGAATATCCTCCCCCAACAAA